CGGTGCGGCGGCGGCGGCGGCGGGGGCGGAGCCCGAGGACGTGGAGGAGGGGGCGTGCCCGCCGCTCCCTCTGCAGCCCCCGCCTCAGGCAGTTGACGCCCCCGCGCTGCTCGCCGCCGAGCGCACCAGCTTCCTCTACCGGCTGCTCGAGGGCGTGAAGAAGGCCCCGCAGGTATGTGTTCCGCGTTAGATGATGTTTTGTGTAATTAGAGCCTGCGCGCGTTTAAAACAAGTGAAATAAGAAAGGGACAGAATAATTATCCTATCACGTGCTCCGTCCAAAACATACATTTATAAATTATGTGAAGTAAATGGATGATAGGATATTAGTGTAGTGTGCATGTACATGATTGTTCCCTTGGCTATCTGTCCTTTTTAATCGATGATAAACCAAACAAGCAAGTCGCATTGTGACAACCGTGGATTATAACTTGTGGAAAATTTACAAATCATCAGTCCTGATAACGAAGAAGATAAACAGTAATAATTTAGTGAATTGGTATGTTTCTTTCGTAGCTTCTTCAGCTGAAGCCCTTGTTGCGTGTGAGCGACGAATTAATCCCTTTTTTCGATACCTTATCATTTTAGGCACATCATTATCCCTGTTACAAGTAATAACTATCACGTATCTTCCGTCGGTTTTTAAGTATGCATTTGAATAAAAGTATATTTTACATTAGCTCTCTTTGTATATGTTCTGTTTAGGAGATTTTTCCATTAATAGTCAATAAATCAAAAATATGTGAAATTACTGATAGCGGCATACGCTGATAAATTTCGATAAAGATGATAAACGACACTTTCCCTTTGATTACACTAGGAAAACGTTTCAGTTATTCAAGAACGACAGGCAAAGATGCAGCTCAATCGTGTGTGTGCGTACGTATTTCTCAATTATGAAGAGGGAATGGTGATGGCTGCTTAGTTTTCGTTAATTCTGGTAACTATTTTTGTGTCATGTCAGAGCGGCTAACAATGTGTAAATCAAAATTGTCTGAATTTAGCTATAGAATCATGGAGAATATGTTGTAAATTAACTTTTCTTTTAAATTGGAAAAAATAAAGTACGTATCAGGAATGTGGCGTTGAAGTAGCACTCTGCACAGGATTAGTAAACCTATAAAGTAAGTAGATTCCTGTAACTTACAAGATCTGATAACTGTATGAAATAATGTCACGCAAACGTTAGATGTTTGTCAGTTTCATGCCATAGAAATGGTCTCAAAACGTGCACTGTCAGGAAATTTCAGACACTGTATTTGCCGGACTGACTATTTTCGTTCGCGAGTTTAATTTGTGTTCGCGGCAATCTTTCTGACAGGCGACGGAGACCTGGGCGGAGGCAACGGGCCTGGTGGGCAGAGCGGCACCCGCGGTGCCCGCCACCCCGCCCCCCGCCCCCTCGGGCGTCGTCAGCGGGCTCCCGCTCCTCCCGTCAGCCCTGGGC